GAAAGCAGTAGTCGCCAGGCCGGTTCACGCTGAGACACGAATACAGACTTACTACCTGCACTTCTTACAAGTCGGTCAGATGAAACTGCCTCTTGGAGGCGGCCGATACGTTCCCTCGTTCTAAACCTCATACAAGTTGTTGCGTGTCAAGATCCGATAAATCATCCTTCGGCCATGTTCATGCAGACCTCAGGATCATGGAAGCTGTCTGCACGAACTCCGATGCCACGTCTTCTGCATTACACATAGCATCGACCGTCAGTGATGTACAACAATAACAATTGAAATCTTCAGATAGAGCCGAAGGATGTCAGGCTTGGGAGCGAATGTCCGAGCTCGGATCGAGATGACCATCGGCGCAATTGCTTCGAGTCGCATCTGATTGGCTTGCATGCGGCTGCAGCAGGAAAAGCACTGCCAGTGTGCACGTGACTGTACGAACTTATCTCCGACGGCTGGAACGACCGGATGGCGCTAGTAAAGCTTGCACTACATCATTTCTGTATCATAGTTCACGTCTTCGCCATCATATTCCTTTCACACCTCAACCTCAATCAAACTATCTGCAACAATCCTAAAATACAGCTCAAGAACCAGCTTTCGAACACTACGATACACCGCACGATATCGAGAACCTACACAACGAACCACACAATCACAACCATGTCTCGCCGCATCCTCAGCACCCTCCCCCGCGCCCTCACAACCTCAATCCGACCCTCAATCACCCCAACCATCACACGCGCACCCGCCACCATCTCCCAATCCCTCACAGCCCAACCCCAACAAACCCGCTCCTACCATGAAAAAGTCCTAGACCACTACTCCAACCCAAGGAATGTAGGCAGCATGTCCAAAAACGACATGTCCGTCGGCACCGGCCTAGTCGGCGCCCCCGCCTGCGGCGACGTAATGAAACTCCAAATCAAGGTCGATCCCAGCAACAACACCATCGCCGACGTGAAGTTCAAGACATTCGGGTGTGGATCTGCCATTGCCTCATCATCGTATCTCACGGAACTTGTCAGAGGTATGACGCTGGAGCAGGCGAGTAGAGTGAAGAACACGGAGATCGCGAAGGAACTGTGTCTGCCGCCTGTTAAGTTGCATTGCAGCATGTTGGCGGAGGATGCCATTAAGAGTGCGGTGAAGGATTATTATACTAAGAATCCGAAGGCGAAGCAGACTGATTTGGGGATGAGTGGGGGGAGTATGCCGAAGATTGAGATTGAGCAGGTTACTACGACGAGGGATACGGGGGCGAGTGCTACGGCTTGAGGAGGGTTGGTGGATGAGGTGGATGTGGAGGTGGCGAAGGTTAAGGTTCAGACGAGGGAATGGAACGATATTATTGAGGGCTCGCGACGCAATGGTTGTAACCCACAGGAGGTTTGATGTATAGGACACTGAATCGACGAAGATGGCGGTCGAGTTTGGTTTGGAAGTCTGATGATTGCTTTGCACGCTCAGCACGACCGGCGAGCAGAAGTCGCCCCCTCTGCTTGAGCACATTCAATCGCTTTGTGTTTCTGGAAGTTGGCGTTGTTGCACAAAACAAATTGATATCCTGATACGCAAGGTGTATACTATAGCAGCGAAGTTGCCTCGATGGAATAAAAAAAAGATTGAAAATATGCTTCGAGTAACTGGCCTCTACGACCATTATGTTGTTCCTCGTGTCGTGATTCATGATAGCGTGTGTCGTGTCTGCCTACCCAGAGACACCTAGCAAAGCTAACGTGGGCATTCATCGTCCGCTTTTCCTTACAGGTACGGACGCCCACACCCCCTCCTGTCCCACCTTCGCCAACTGTTGAGCAGAAGCATTTTTGGACCGACAGCTTCCATACTGGCACATTGATCGAAGAGGTCGGCACACCTCTGTAGTCGCTAAAGGAAGGTTCGACCGCGTGCAGCAGGAAGGTACAATATGGCAAGCCACAAAGGAAAGCACGACCGACCAGAACATGGGCAGGTACGACCCCAACCCCACGACACGAGGAAAGTGCGGCCGAACAGACCAGGCAGGCAGGCAGGCACGGCGACTCAACGAAAAGAACAACCGGGGGAAGGTACGGCTGGGGAGGCGGCAGGGAGGAACGACCGCATTGTCCAGTCGCACTTCCCAGGCAGTCTATCAATGGATCCAGGGGAGGGCGCGGTCCGGCTGCTTGCAAATCATGAGGACAGTTACGAGATCGGGTGTGTTGATTTAGTTAGGATATCCGTATCATCAGAGTGCAATATGAGCTGAAGAGTACTGTATGACAGACATAGGACGGCGGCATTATGTGTGTCAGACAGAGCATGAAAGCTTGACATGAAGCCGGTAAGGTGCTTGTATTCGCTCCTTGGCTGTGAGACCTCTTGATCTTTCTCGTCCTTGACTATCTGGGTATTCTTGCAGCTTCTACGACTATAGGAGCATAGACAGGCTTTCCTTATCGTCTGCTCTATCGTCCCTCGTGGAATGCCTTGCAAATCTAACCCAGATCTCAAGCCGCCTCGTCTGCGCACTGGTGCTGAATGTGCCTGGCACTACACGCCACTGTAGTCCGGCTGCTTGCTTCATAAAATTCTCGTTCCTTCATCATTCATAAACTGCGCTGAAAGACATGACAATCACATCACCACTCTTCCATCATATCTTCGTCTGGGAAATCTCCTGGCACAGGTGGTCCACCCATGGGCTTCGCTCCCTTTTCAGCCGCCTTCTTGTCTTGGTCACGGGATTTCTTCAGCTTCTGTAGCCATTCCAGATAGTCCTTGTTGACTTCCATCTGGTGGTCGTAGTCTGAGATGTGCTTAAGCAGCGCCTTCAGTTCGAGAGTCTTGATCACGAGTTCTCGCTCCACTTGTTGCTCGGTCTTCTGTGCAGCTGTTGGTGGGAGAAACCGCACTGTGCCAAGTCCGCCCGTCTGAGATGGGGTAATTTGGGCTTGTAGCTCGCCAGTCGAGATCAGAGTTTGCACATATCCGAGACTTTCCTGGACGTTCAGTGGCTGCGAAGATGTTCGCTGAGCGACTTCCTCAATGGGTAGTGCTGCAAAGGTCTTGCTCAGGCGAACGACTGCAAATTTTCTGAAAGCATTTACAACCTCTACCATGAGACCATAGTTGCCATCCTGCTGCCAGATATCGAGACCTTCCTGAATCTCTGCATGGAGCACATCGAGCTTGTTTGACTTGAATGCATCGACCACACATTCGTATGGTTTGGCCAGAGTCCGGATGTGCTTAGTGGCATTACTGCTCATTGCTCTTGGTAATTCGAGTGGTTGACCTTTAATGATGAGACCCAGAAGTACCCACTTCTTGTATGCCTCAAGCATGATCAAGCTTGTAGCATTCTGCTGTGTTGGCGCAACGAGGACGACTTCAAGGAATGTCTGGGCCTTCTTCCACTGTTCTGTGCCGATGTAGCATAGTGCTCCCAGCAGGTAGTACTCTAGATATATCCTGCTTGTGACCTTGCCGCTGAGACCTGACTGTGGGTTGATATATGCCAGACTTGACTCTTGTTGTGAACACAGATATTTCCCTAACCTCCTCTCCAATGTCTTCGTCGACTCTGATGTAGGGATGTGGTAGATAGGGTAATCGAGGATCGTGGTAGCCTCTGAATATGCTCTGGCATATAAACATAACTTGACGTAGGAATAATGTATAAGTGAGAGTGTGCAGCACTGAGGATCCAGTTGGAGAAGCAAGTTCTGTAGTAACTGAACCGCTGGTACATAATTTGACGTTTGTTCTGCACCATAGTACACCACTTCGACAACCTTCATCAGCTGAGATCCCATGTATCGGATCTGTACAGGGTCGAAGGCCAGAAGTCCCGCTGTGATTGCTGGCCATATCTTGCCATCAGGCAGAATATTTTGAGGTAGATTTCGTGATGATGAATGACCGGCCTGAAGAATCGAGTTGACTAAGGTGTGAAGGAGGTAGATGTATGGTATCGTCAATGTTGCAGGGTCAATCGATTCCAGAAGCTGGTCGCAATATTAGAATGCGCGTTCACGGTATAATGGGCAAATGACTTACTGTGAGTAATATTGTTTGATCTGGCGCCTGTAGTTTTCTCAGAGCTTGCAGAACCTGTAAGGCGACATTGTCGTATTCTGATTCATCTGTTGCCAGCAGCACATCGTTCAGCTGTGCTGCGTTGGCTAATATTGCGTCCATCTCGTGCTTCCAGACAAGTGGGAGGCTGTCAAGGACCAAGACAGGCAGGTGTTTCTAGAACTCTGTCCTCATCTTTTAACTCGACGATAGAAGGCGTAGGATCTTCTGATGTCTAGAGGGTAAGGTGGAGCGATGTTAGCAGTGATTCCATGCAGGCACGATGTATCAAGTGCAGGTACGACCATCAATAAGGCTGCACTGGCAGTTACATGAAACGCTATTTGATGCCTGAACGAGAGAAGTGACGTAGGCTCTGTACGGTGGATCAGAGGGCCTGTGATGCCTTACGCGCTTATAGCTGACCGTAGTAACCTAACCTAATTGAGCCAAAAAGATCGAATTGGAAACTGTCGAGCCGTCCATCCACCTTCTCCTCCACTGCCTTCGAGAAGTGAGAACGAATGTTCATGCCTTTGCTAGAGTAGTGCTGCGAGGACAACGGCACATGGAGGCATCTCATTGGGCGACTCAGGCACTGCTCTTCGTGGAATTGTCTTCTTAGGTTCATCAAGTGAAGTCCATTCATATGATACTGATGGTCCAACAGGCATATGTATGTATTCCGACGAAGTACTCACCAGCATCGCCTCCTAGGTTAACAAAACCACAAGAACCATCTAGTGTGCATAAGTTACCAGTACCAATTCTCAGCTCTCAGAGCCCACCTTCGACTTCAAACCAGTTTCACCACGGACCGAACGTTCTTTGTGACTCATCCCTCACTTCGACCCCTTTGTCCTCTCACAAACATGCGCATTGTCAAAGCCTTATATATCAGATGCCGCAAATATCCTCCACAAATCAGCATAACAGACGGCATAGCTCAATGGTCAGAGCATCGGACTTCTGTCTTACATGTCCTGGGTCCACCATTAATTTGGTTAGCCAGTCGACAGGAGTTCATCTGAAGGTTCTCGGTTCAAGTCCGAGTGTCGTCTCCCATGTCCTCGTAGCATAACGGTGGTGCATCCGGTTGCAGTTGGGGCAATGCCTGGAAGGTTGTAGGTTCGAATCCTGCCGAGGACTTCTTTTTTGGCCTGTTGGCTGAGTGTTCGAATGGGTATTGCTTGTTTGCAGGTGCGGCATTGTTGGTCAGGATGCGGAGGTGGTGCGTGACTCATGACATTGTTCAAGGACAAAGAAGAGGGTTCGAGAGGAAGTCATACCTGAAGCACAACTTCTGTACCAGAAACGCATGGCTACCGCAATCTCAAATGTTGGTCGTTACTTCTTCTTTCGACCATCTAGTCACAATTTCTAGTCGAAGGTGTTAGCCAGCTGATATGTGGTAGATCACTCGCAGGGCCGGCTGTGGCGATGTGTACAGGTTACCTTGCGCTCCAATCAGTCTGCATAGCAGTGCCACAAGTGTTGCATCGTGCAGCATATCTTGCCGCGACAGAACTCCACGCCAGAGGCGGAATCGATAAGTGTAAGAGTGGCCGGGCTACCTCAGGGAAAGGCAAACAAGGCAGTAGAATCGCGCGAGCAAAGGCAGATGAGGTATCTGCTTGCGTTGAGAAGGCACAGTGAGTCTGTTGCGAGCTGTGCTGCAATGGCATCAACGTAGTCCCGTACCACGTACGCGATTTGCTCCCTTTCTGGCCAAGGGTCAGCGTGATAGGATCTTCGAGGCAATTCGGTTGATCGTGCTACCGAGCAAGTTGCCGTTTCTGATAGAATCTTGTACAGTAGTCGAGGGTCGCATCACACCACTCGAAGTATGGCTCCAATCCACCCTGCCCACCTGCATGGTGCTTTGCATGTTTCTTTGCTCCTCCAGCCCAACCAGCGGGAAGCACCTTGTCTGTCCCGAAAGGCAACTCGAGCCCACTGTGTATCTCTACCAGCAGCCACACGAATACTGGCACAAAGAGTGTACGCGTCAGCACATGACACTTGATGATGTTCAGCGCAAAATTCGCCAATAGTACGAGGCCCAATCGTTCGAAGATGTGAAGCTGGTTCGTGATCTGAGGATGAATCTCAGCGTGCGTGTGGTGAGGGGCGTGCCATGATTTGATTCCAGGCAGGATGTGCATCGCGAGATGAAAAGCGAAGAACGTAGCATCATAGATTATGAGGCTGAAAATCAGCTCAAGAGCCAGACGACGACTGCTCGGTGCAGCATCGGGTAGTGCCCGCTGAGTTTGCAGTGGTGAAGAGGTGGTGAAGTTATGAACTGTCGGCATCAAGAAGTTGACCTGACAAGTGTTCCCTCTGCAACTTGATTGCGCAAGTGCTGGGTCGTAGTTGCCAGAGGCAAGCATAGCCTCAAGGGGTACTCCAGCGAACTTCTTGATCATGGTCAAGTCGAGGAGAAGAAGTGGTGCAATGTAGGTGAGACCCTCGAGCAGCCGTCGGGACGGCCTTCGCATACCGTGAGGACGGCGAATTGGTTCATCGGTCTTCTTGTTTTTGGCTGCCAAACGCCATTCAGGATGCTGAAGGAAGACTGTCGTCATCCATGGCTCGACTACTGCGTAACAGAAGACCGTCCAGAATGTTTCGAAGGTCGAGGATCGGTAGACAGTATTGTTCTTCAGCACTGTCCACAGACGGTCAAGAATAGGCTGGTACCATTCCGGCAGTAATATGGCACTTCCAGCAAGAGCCAGAAGCGTAATTCGTACTACAGCGACATGAGTGTTTGTCATTGTATGTCCAGTGCTTGATTGCATCAAGAAGTTTGCCCAAAACCGCTCTGACCACTATTGCATTATCATGGTACCTGGTATACAGAAGAGGATTCGAATGATCGCGTCACCGAAATTTTAAACTGTCAGGTACAGGCGACCTGCATTAGCCAGGAGAACCCTGAACAACCGAGATACGGACAACTCCGGTGCGTGGTTGCCCAGGTAAGCTTCAGGCTTGGAAGCACTCACGCGACGCAAAATCGTCGTGTTCGTGTCCGCTTCAAGCACTCATTTCTACCGTACGGGCGCTCATCTCGACTTTCCGGTGCGCGGCAGTACCCGGAGATGTCCTAATGTTACAAATGGAAGCTGCGAAGATAAAAACATTTTGACCGAAATCATCTACACACTTGTCCTTCTCGCCGTGGTCCTATATATCAACTTCACCATAGCGAACCATGCTCGACATCCAATTCCGGCCACTGAAAGACCAAGTCTTCAACCCCATCTCCCGCCTCGTTCCCAAAGCCATAACCCCTCTCCACCTCACTGTCCTCGCCTTCTTCTCCGGCCTTAATTCCTGCCTACACGCCTCGCAGAACCACCCAACCCTCTCACTCACCTTCTGGCTGCTCAACCGCGCTCTCGACTGTCTAGACGGCGCAGTCGCCCGCCACCGAAACCAGTCATCTGACCTCGGCGGCTTCCTGGATTTACTAGGTGATTTCATCGTCTACTCCCTCATCCCGATATGTTGCGGGCTGTCGAGTGCGGGTGGGAACGGGGAGAGATGGCATCTGTGGGCGTCGATAGCGGTTGTGGAGGCGAGTTTTCATGTTAACAATTTTGTGTTGTTTTATGTTGCGGCTGTGGTGGAGAAGAGGAAAGCTACGGCTGTTGGTGGTGGTGGAGAGCTACGAGACGGCGATCGGGTGGGAGAGAAGGATACGGAAATGAAGGTGAAGGTGAAGGAGCTGACGAGTGTGGCTATGAGGCCTGCGTTGGTTGAAGGCATGGAGAGTGGGATCATGTTTACGATTATGCTTGCTAGACCTGCTTGGACGGAGGGTGTATGTTGGGTCATGGCTGTGCTGGTGGGTGTAGGTATCTGTCAGAGGGTCATTTGGCTTGTGCCAGTGTTGAAGTGATCATAATTGGTATATAAGACTCCCGCGCTACAATGAAACTACTCTATTGACAGCCTCCTCATAGCGAAGCCTCTGTTTTCTTGCCAGTAAGGACATCCTTCTTGTACAACTCGTTCACTAACGCCTTCGGATCACCACCACAAGCGTTGAGGTCAGCGCTCGTCATGACGGTGGTAAAGCTATCGCTGCCGCTGTCGAGGACAACCGCCGGATAGCGGAGGCCGCTTGAGTTGACAAAGTCCTTGAGGTTGGGTGATATCTCATCCCTGTGCCACTGAACAACTTTGAGCCCCTGGCCCTCGATCTCCTTCTTAGATTCGACCCATTTCGGCGTCTCTGATAGTGATAATCCTCCATGTGTGATGTCGCATGCCTGTGGTAATGCCGGTTAGCTTTCTTGACATCAAGAAATGCCTGCGTGTTATAGGGTGCTTACAGCACACGCCGAGTCGCAATCTTTCGAAGCAAGCTTGCGATATCCGTATTTCAACTTTCCCATGACCGTACCATCCGCGTTGTACAAGACGTATAGCGTCTTTTGAGCCATGCTGATAGCGCTGTTTGAGTCCAGATAGAGGTATGGCTGTCGGTTTGCGGCTTGTATGAGAGAATGCAGGCTGGTTGACGAATGTTTCTGACGGCCACAATGCACGCTGTCGTCTAGGCAATATATTGTCTGAATAGTAAAGTTAGTAGGCTTCTTCCGCGCCCATCCTACGGTTCCCAAGCCTCGGAGATCTGCCTCGGGGGCTGACGAGACGCTAATGACGCCCGGAGAGGGCTCGGCGGAACGCCTTAAAGCATTGTCTTCAGGCCTTCTACTCCACAAACTTCACCTTATAAGAAGTCAGCGCGCACTCGGAACGTTCTATTTGTCATTGGCTTCTGCATAGCTACAACCATGTAATTTAAAGCAGGACTTCTAAACGAATACGATGTCGGGCGGTCCCCCGACCCGAGATGCATGCATATTCGACCTTGCTATCATCGGCGCAGGTATCTATGGCATTCAAGCAGCACGAACTTACCTGGAGCTCCATCCATACGATAAGGTCATTGTGTTCGAAGGGAGTGGCGATGTTGGTGGCGTGTGGTCCTCAGGTGCGGACCTTCAGTGGTGATGCATCCTCTCTGACAATCAGCTAGAGCGCGTCTATGATGCATTTTGGACACAAACACCGCTGGGCATCCTGGAGTTCTCGGACATGCCATTGGAGGGCGTTCCAGACCACGACACCTACCATGGATTCTTCCCTGCCAAGTACGTAGCGGAATACCTGAAGTCTTACGTTGAGTCAAGGATATACGGCGGGCAAACGTTAGCATCGAGGATACGATCTCATTCGCAAGTCGAGGTACTGAGCAAGGTCGACGAAGGATGGACCTTGCATGTGAAGAATTCAACCGGCAGCGCCGTCGCAGATACCGAGCTCGGCGCTCGTAAGGTCATCGACGCTACCGGCTTGACCTCAACACCAAACGTGCCTTCGATTCCTGGCCAGGACAACTACCAAGGGCAGTTTCTGCACCACAAAGGTTTTGCTCTACATCAAGCCTCCCTCTTCTCAGCCACAGGCCCTCAGAGGATCGCAGTCATCGGAGGTGCAAAGTCCGCAGCCGACGTGGCATACGCCTGCGCCAAAGCCGGCAAGGACGTGACCTGGATCATCAGACGAAGCGGTGCAGGACCGGCAGCATTCGTCAGCGCCAAAGGCTCGTGGCCGTACAACAACTCAAATGAGAACTTCTACACCCGTCTCACTTCTCATTTCCTGGTCAGCTGGTTCTTCGACGAGTCTAAGACACGGTTGGGACGGTTCCTGTACGGTACGGGTCTAGGACGGGCATTCATTGGGAGGGTGTGGAAGGCCATCAGTCGGAAGGCTAGCGGGCTGGCCAACTATGACAGAGAAGATGGTCGGAAGAATGGTTTCCACAATTTGAGACCAGATACGGAGATCTTCTGGCAGAACGATTCTACTGGCGTGTGTCAGCGTGATGACTTTTTTGATACGATTGCTCGCAAAGTCAAAGTATATCGAGAGGATATCAAGGAGATGAATGCGCATGGACTAGAGCTTGCTGATGGAACGATCGCGTCTGCTGACTGCGTGATCTTTGCTACGGGCTGGAAGACATCACATCCAAGAA